GTTGAGTTCAATAAAAGGGGCAGACCACATGGCAAGGCTGCTATTGAGATGCAGTCTTACATTGGTGTTTTGGCACGCACCAGAGTCCCTCTTGTGGACAAGAAATGGACTCAATTGCCCAAGGACTTGAAGGAGCAGCTTTGGAAAGCTGTTCAAATGGATTTTGTTGTTGGGGAAGGGTGCAAGAAGATGGTCCTGTCGTCTGCAGCCAAAAAATGGAAGGATTTCAAGTATAACGTAACTAGGCAGTATATCCTTCCATTCGCACATGACAAGGAGAAGTTAAAAGAACCCCCTGAGCTTTATAAGTTCATAGAGAAGTTGCAATGGGATGCCTTTGTAGCTTCAAGGTTATCCCCAGATTTTGAGGCTATGCATTCTGGACAGAAACAGAGGAGGGAGAAATTTGAGTACAACCATAGGTTGTCTCGAAAAGGGTATGTAGGTTTGGAGGATGAATTAGAAGAAAACATGCCCGGTGAAGAAATCGATCGAGCTCTTCTATGGAAGAAGGCAAGAGAAGATAAAACGAGAAACATCCCTGATCCAAAGGTTGCAGAGAAGGCAAAATTAATCGTAAGTCTCACTAACTCTGTTCTAAATTTGAAAAACAGCGTGTTTTATTTTGGTATAGACGTCGCACGATTAAATAACCGACGTTATAAAATAAACACCTCAACGGTTTTTATTTACCGTCGTTTAAACAAGAATAGCACGTCGGTTTTTGCATAAATCAGACGTCTAGGTAGAATTAATACGACAGCTTAAATTCTGGAGACGGCCGTTTTGTTTTAAGTTTACTCACGCACACACTCTCCCTCTCTCTGTCTATTTCACTGAAATTTGTGGTGCACAATTTCTGGAAAAGAACGCATATTTCAATTGAGTTTTTTCTCTTCTTCATTAAAATTTACGACGGTTTTATCTCATCTAGACGTTTGAATGCTTATACAACAACGGTAATTTTATGCCGCCGTATGAAATTAAGTCCTACGTCTGTTTGTTTAACTGTCCGTCGTCTTAATTGAAATACTATGACAATCTTTGATTTATGTTTTATTAATCTGTTGCTTTTGAATATACGACGGGTTTTATCTCCCGACGTTGTAAATTATAAACAACGACGATATTTAACTACCGACGTGTGAAATGATTACTACGTCAGTTATTTAGGAAAACCGTCGTTGTAAATGATATATTACGTCGGTTTATTTATCTGTTTTACACTCTGCTCAATGTCTAACAATCTCCCTTTCTCTCTTTTAGGATGATTTGCAAAAGTAAGTCTCCGAAGGCACTCTGACTGTATCTGGGAGCAATGATATCTTGACTCTTGCTTTGGGAACCCCCGAGCATGGTGGGAGAGTCAGAGGAGTTGGTGCTCCGTTTCCCCAACTCAATTATTCAATTTGCCGAGACAGCAGAGAGTAAAATTTGCTGACAAATTGAAGGAAAGTCTAATGGAGGCAGTCAGAGAAGAGACCTTGAGGATTGAGGCGAGGTCAAGGGAAAGTATAATGGAAGCAATCAGAGCAGAGAGGGAGGTTATGTTGGCACAATTCCGTCAACTAGTTCCTAATTTTGATCCCAACATGCTCAAAACCCCAATTAGTCCAATTCCTTTACCCCCTCAAGGTCAAAGCCCAAAAAATCCAATGTCTGATAAGGCAAGCTGCTCTGGGGCCACTAATATCAGACCCCTAGATTTGGGGGTAGAAGATCCAAAGCCTGATGCTGATACTGTTGGAAAATAGAAAATGACACGGTAAAATCTCTGATATTTTCTTTTTCTGCCTTTTAAATTTTAAATAGACGTCGCTCTTTTAAATATCCGACGTTAACATTTGAAACAACGACGGTATATATTTACCGACGTTGGAAAACAATAATACGTCTGTTTCTTCGAAGAACCATCGTTTTGAGTTAAATACCACGATGCTTTTACTTGTTTTGCAATTTATTGGGCATTGAAAATAACGACTGTCTTTTTTGCTGTCGTCTAATTCTTTTATAAACCATCGTCTATTTCATGAAAGCATTAACTGCATTTTAATTAGACGACCTTTCTTTAGTGTAGCGACGTTATAACATTTACACAACGACGGTTATGTATTTACCGACGTCTATAACCTTTCCTCCGTCAGTATGTACTAGAAACCGTCGTTTATATTATATACCACGTCTGTTTTTTTGGTTTAGTTAGAGTCGTTTATTTTAGTTCACACACAAACTAACTTATATTTCTTTATTTATTTCTTGTAACAGGATCTCTCAAAGCTAGACATGCCACCTCCTCTGTTAGCCTTATGCCAACTTGTCCAGGCCAAGTTGTTGTCTGCTAACGAGACTCTGACAATTCACATGCCCAAGGAAGTGTTTGGCTTTGAGCATGATACCTTCCTCTTCGCTGAAGATGTTTTGCAGTTTGGTTCCATGGTTGAGATTGGAACCACAGTGATATCAATATACAAGAGGTAATTCTAGAAATCCCATTTTGTTTTACATTTCCCTTTCTTTTAAATTAAAATCTCATTTAATTGAATTTCATATATTTAGGTACCTATTTGACTATTTAAAAATGGCAAACAAGGTAAACCTTATTGGCCTCATGGACCCTGGGCTAGTCAGCTCTCAATCTGGATCTCTATCAGACCAAACAAAAAACCTGGCAAACCGCCTGAAAACAGCAGATGGGAATCAATTTTTCTTGGTCCCTTATAATCCAGGGTTAGTCCCCTTAACTATTTAAATTATTTTTCTTTGTAGTACTATTTAACCTATATGGATCATTATGTGTAAGGTTCATTGGGTGTTGGTCATTGTGAGACCATTGAAGGAGACTGCCTATTACAAGAATTCACTGCCAAACCGCGCCGTTGATGAGGACATGAAAAGTATAGTGAATACGTAAGTTCATTTATTCTGATATAAGATTTTTTGGGCTTTACTGCATTTGAAGTATACGACGGGTTTTTATAATACCGACGTTATAATAAAAATACAAAGACGGTGATTTTTTACCGACGTTTTAAACAATTTTTTACGTCAGTATTGTCTTAAAAACGTCGTGTTAACTTAACAACCACGTCGTTTGGGTTTTATTTAAGGACGTTTTAATTTTTTTTGTTCAATTTTTTGTTATACGACGTTTGAAATGTTACCGACGTTATAATGTTACAATACCACGTCTTTTATATTAAAAATTTGTCGTCTTGACTGATTTACCACGACAGTTACTATGTTATTTTAGATTTTTGGTTTTGTGAGTAACTCTCTTTGTTTTCTTCTAACAAGTCAATTAAAATGTTTAACATTCATATAAACAAATATTCAGCACGTAAAGGAGCCATTTGGAAAAATCTACGTGGAACTCCTGTACAACCAACAAGTGTAGAGTGTGGCTATTTCGTGATGAGATTCATGAGAGATATAATTTATGATCAAGACCTAGATTTCGAGAAGAAGGTAAAAGGAAAAATTTAAGATATAATTTCTTTATTTTACTACGTCAACTTTTTCTTTAAAACCGTCGTTTGTATCTTTATAACACGTCAGTTTTTTGGTTTATTTTGCAGTTTGGAAATAAAAATGATAAAGTTCAGTATAAACAAGAGGATATTGATGAAGTTTGGCATGAATGGGCAGAATTCGTGAACAAGCTATTACAGAATGATAATTGATGTACATAATATTTATTAACAATGTTAAGGTTTATTTTAGTTTATTAAAAATGTACATAAATATTTTTGTTGTAATCAATCGAACAACCATAAAAAAAATTAATTTTTTTGTGAAATTTTTTTAGTTCCCAAAATATTCATGAAAACTTAATTTAATTCCCAAAAAACGACGTCTCTTTCTAATTTACACGTCGCATATGTGTATACAATGGTCGTCTTACTATAACTAGAAATATAACATCGACGGCAATTATTAAAAACGACATGTAACAGTAATAAACACGACGGTTTCTATTTATTTCATCTTGTATGGATAAATTTGTACTGATATACTACCACTACAAAACAGAATCCCTTTTGCGAGGGCATTTTGTCGTTGCTAAAAGCCTTTTGCCGTCGGAAATACACTTTTTCGATAGCAAAAGTTCGTTGGAAGTCGTCGCTAAAGGGCTGGTTGCAAATACATCATTTCCGACGCCCATGCTTCGTAGCTATTGCTTAAATTTCTATCGAAAATGGATTTTTAAAACGACCCTACATATTTATTTCCGACCGTACATGTGGTCGTAATTACTTATATGATTGTCAGAAATAGTTCTTTTATCGAGATTTTTTATTTTTACGAATTCATATTTTCAACCAATAAGTGTCGTCAGAAATACTTTTTTCGACAATGATATATTATTTGTGAGGGCTAGATTTCGTCGCAATTATCATTATTGACCAAAAGAGTTTGTGGAAAATATATAATATCTCGTCGGAAAAGAGTATAACAAAATATTTCCGATGGGCAAGTTACGTCGGAAATATATATTTGGGTTTAGACTTATTTTCTTCTTACTTTTTGACTTGCAGGGCAGAGCATTCCTGTGGCTTCTTCTTCAATTTACAACAGAACTATTCTATTTTGGCACTTCTGTGACTAAGTAAGAATTTGGTATACGGTATATGCATATCAAGGGTATATAGCCTGCCTATATGGGCCAAGTGCTTTGACAATTTTTATTACTTTGGTAATATGGTATATGCATATATGTTCTTGTAGTACACTATAATATATCTTATACATGTAATTGTTAGAGAAAAAAGTTAAGACTTGTGGGCACAGAAAGGCCTTTATGCTCCCTCTCTGCTGCTGAGACTTTTGGGTGATGTTTTAGAGAATTACATGCCTCCGTGTTTTTTTACATGCCAGTTCCCTAGTACAGTGATACAATAATAAATGTGGCTTTCATTTTGATGTCTTTGATATAGTTTTAATATTTGAATTTTTGGTCATTTGTTCTATTAATATTAATTGGAACTTATTTATGTAGAGAAATGCATGTTGATAAATCTTGGATGCAATCTGGGAGGTCTTCAGAAGATTATTTTGCAGGAGTTGAAAGTTTTCTTAATTATGCATACAACCATGTTAAGCCGGATGATTCTAAGATATTTTGTCCTTGCTCTAAATGCAGTAATAGATATAGACATCTGAGGTATGAGGTACACAAGCATCTTCTTTATAACGGAATTAAACTGACTTATACTACATGGAATTTGCACGGCGAGGGTGAGGATGAGGATAGTGATGAAAGTGATAGTGACAATGATGGACATGATGTGGCCAGTATGGAGCAAGACGATGATATGCATGGTTTAATAGAAGCAGGTTGTCCACAAGATCCAAATGGAGATGCACACAAGTTTTACAAATTGTTAGAAGAGGCAGAACAACCATTGTATGCTGGTTGTGAGTCGTATTCTAATTTGTCTTTTGTTGTGAACCTAATGCATATCAAGGGTATCGGTACTATGAGCATTAAAGCATTTGGTATGTTGCTAACATTGTTGAAAAATGCATTTCCTTTTTGTGAGAAGTTACCTACAACCACCAACGGTGCAAAGAAAATTATTTCAGATTTAGGTCTTCATTATGATAAAATAGATGCATGCAATAATGATTGCATCATTTATTATAAGGAGCATGCAAATGCAATGCAATGTCCTACATGTAAGCTTTCGAGATGGAAGAAACAAGGAAAGGGTAGCAAAAAGAAAGGTAAAAGGGTTCCATGGAAGGTGCTTAGATATTTTCCACTCACACCAAGACTTCAAAGATTATTCATGTCATCCAAGACAGCTGTAGATATGAGGTGGCATTTTAAGGATCGTGTAAAAGATGGAGTGTTGAGGCATCCGGGAGATTCTGAGGCTTGGAAATCGTTTAATCAAATTCATGAGTCATTTGGTATGGAACCTCGAAATGTAAGACTTGGTTTGGCAACAGATGGATTTAACCCTTTTGGGAACATGAATTTGCACTATAGTATTTGGCCAGTTCTCATGTACCCATATAATCTTCCTTCGTGGATGTGCATGAAAAGAGCCTTATGTTTTCATGACTTTACTTATTCCTGGACCCAAGGGTCCATGCCATGACATTGATGTATACATGAGGCCGTTGATAGACGAGTTGCGAACATTGTGGGAAATTGGTGTTGAAACGTATGATATATATGCAAAGCAGAATTTTCAGATGAGAGCTGCAATTCTTTGGACTATCAATGATTATCCAGCTTATGCATACATGTCAGGTTGGAGTACGTCTGGCAAATTGGCATGCCCATATTGTGCATCTGATACTTCGCATCGTTGGTTATCTCATGGGTCTAAAACATGTTATTTGGGTCATAGACGATTTTTACCGTCTGACCACGTATGGCGTAATCAACGAAGCCAATTTGATAATACAAGGGAAACAAGACTTGCACCCAAGAGACCATCTGGTGATGATGTGATAAATGAACTTAGTGAATTAAGAGAAATAACACATGGCAAGGATGGGAAAAAGCATACAATACTTTGGTTTGGAAAAGATCATAATTGGAAAAAACATTCGATATTTTTCCAATTGCCTTACTGGAAAACACTTTTGGTGCGTCACAATTTAGATGTCATGCACATTGAGAAAAATGTATTTGAGAATGTGATTGGCACAATGATGAGCATTGATGGTAAAACAAAAGATTCTTTAAATGCTCATCTTGATCTTCAAGAAATGGGTATAAGACAGAGGTATCATCCAGAAGAAGGAGATAATGGTAAGCTCTATTTTATCCCAGGTGATTATACATTGTCAAATGATGATAACAAAGCTTTATGTCAATGGTTAATGGAGTTAAAAGTTCTAGATGGGTACTCTGGAAATTTATCTCGATGTGTTAATGCTTCAGAACGTAATATTTCTGGTATGAAAACTCATGATTGTCATGTGTTCTTAGAGAGATTACTTCCATTTGTGGTGCGAGATTTATTAACCAAATATGTAAGTGAGCCTTTAATTGAATTATCGTACTTTTTCAAGGAATTGTGTGCTAAAGTTTTAAGAGAAGATGACTTGAATTTTCTTGACAATCAAATTGTCATAACTCTATGCAAGTTGGAAAAAATATTCCCTCCTGCCTTTTTTGACATCATGATTCACCTAACTTGCCACTTGGTATGGGAGGCAAACGTGGCCGGTCCAGTACAATTCAGGTGGATGTATCCTGTGGAAAGGTAATCTGTCACGACCCGACTCCCCAAGCACGATATTGTCCGCTTTGGGCCCCCCTCTCTGCCCTCACGGTTTTGTTTCTGGAAGCTCACGAGCAACTTCCCAGTGGGTCACCCATCTTGGGATTGCTCTGGCCCCCAACTCGCTTAACTTCGGAGTTCCTATGACTCCGAAGCCAATGAGCTCCCAAAAGGCCTCGTGCTAGGAAGAGAAGTGCACACACATTTAAAGCACTTCACCTTTCCCTCCCCGAGCGTTGTGGGATTGCTCACCGTTCTTGTTTCCCCAAGACACGGGTCTTACAATCCACCCCCCTTGGGGCCCAGCGTCCTCGCTGGCACACTTCCGGTCGGGGTCCAGCTCTGATATCATTCTGTCACGACTCGACTCCCCTAGCACGATATTGTCCGCTTTGGGCCCCCCTCTTTGCCCTCACGGTTTAATTTTTGGGAGCTCATGAGCAACTTCCCAGTGGGTCACCCATCTTGGGATTGCTCTGGCCCCCAATTCGCTTAACTTCGGAGTTCCTATGAATTCGAAGCCAATGAGCTCCCAAAAGGCCTTGTGCTAAGAAGAGAAGTGCCCACACATTTAAAGCACTTCACCTTTCCCTCCCCGAGCGATGTGGGATTGCTCACCGTTCTTGTTTCCCCAAGACACTGGTCTTACATAATCTCAATGTTTAGATATTAATTTTATTCACAGTTTGTTTAATTGCTGATGTATGATTCTCTAATTTCGGTATTTATGATGTAATTAGGTATTTGCATAAGCTAAACACTTATGTTCGTAATAAGGCTCATCCAGAAGGGTCTATTGCCGAAGGTATCTTGGGAGATGAGTGTTTAATATTTTGCTCTCGCTATTTGCATCGAGTTGAAACTAAGTTTAATAAAAGAGATAGAAACGACGATGGAGGTCAACTGTCATATGATACATCTCCATTATCTATTTTCTCACCACCTGGTTGAGCTTTTGGGAAAGGTGTACTTAGAGAGATGAGCATCGAACTTCATAAGGCTGCCACTCATTATGTCCTACAAAATTGTGATGAAGCTTTGCCATTTGTCCAGTAAGAAATTTTCAACACTATAATTCTTTGTGTATTTAATATGTTACTATTTATTTAGATCTAATATGTCACTGTATTAATTTGAATATAATTATTTGTTATGTCTGCAGAGAACATAAGAACATTCTAATCCAGTCTAGTGTTGATAATGTGGAGGAGTCACATAGGCTTCAACTTTCAAGCTGAATTTCTAAAAGGGTATGGATAATATTGTATTGGAAAAACTATTGACTGTCATAGATGTTTATTTAAAAATATTTTTTCCTTTCTATGCAGGTCACAGAACTATACAACGATGGTAAAGTTAGTAAGCAAATGCTTTCTTTGGCTCGAGGTCCTGAAAGGTGAGTAACTTATTATCCTGGTTATTATATTCGTGGTTTTAGATTTCATACATTGTAGCGTGATGAGAATAAAAAAACACAAAATAGTGGAGTTATGGTTAAGGGGGCGAATCAGATTGACGATGTGCCTTGGTATGGAACCTTAGTAGATATTGTTGAGCTCCGATACACAGAAGGAAATAGAGTTGTATTGTTCAATTGTGATTGGTATGACACAACACGAAAAGGAACAGGTTACAAGATAGATCGTTATGGAATAATCACTGTTTATACAACACGCAAGCTAAATACTCAAGAGCCATTCGTACTAGCAAGCCAAGCAGCCCAAGTTTTTTTTATGTGAAGGAGGTTAAAAATAAAATTTGGAGTTTTGTAGTGGAAACAAATCCAAGAAACGCTTATGAGATGACTAGTGATGAGAATGACCCATACCAAGAAGCAGAGACTCAAAGTCAAAGCATGTATGCCATCCAAAATGATGTTGATGACAATGAAATTGATTGAAGAAGCGATGTGATGCAACTTACAACTCTGGGATGAGTTGTCATGTAATTGTGATTGTCTATATTTTTTTTTTGAATTGGCTATTTTTAGTTATTATCAATCAAATTGTTTTTACTTATTATAATGGGAAATTGACATTCAAACGTTTTCCTAGAGGACATATTTCTCCTCGAAAATAGTCAAACAATTCAGACGAAAGGAGAATCCCTCAGAAATAGTCAAGCAATTCCGACAAAATAAGAAACCCCTCAGAAATAGTCAAACAGTTCTGACGGAATGAGAAACCCCTCGGAAATAATCATCCTATTTCCGTCAAACATACTTTTGGTCGTTAATAAAGCTGGCGCCAAGTCTTCCCGCCAAATAAATTACATTTCCTACGACAACAGAGACTTTTTCCGAGGGTATTTCCTTTGTCGGAAATAAATTTCAGGCCCGTGACATATTTCCAACGGACAACATTTTTTGGTCGGAAAAAACACTTTTACTGAGAGAATTTCGGGGCCCTCGGAAAATGTTGGTCGGTAATGACCTCTTTTTTTTGTAGTGTACGTCTGTTAGTACAACCATATCGACGTCTTAATAATATAAAAAGGCGGTAATAAAAAAAAATTTGACGTCGTATAAGTAAACAACGTCGGTGATACAAAACAACATGACGTGGTAATACAATAACCCACGTCAGTGATCCAAAAAAATTGACGAGGTAATATTATCATCCACGTCAGTTATTTAAAAAAAGATATAACAAGAAATATAACATCGACGGCAATTACTAAAAACGACATGTAACATTAATAAACACGACGGTTTCTATTTACTTCATCTTGTATGGATAAATTTGTACTGATATACTACGTCTGTTTGTACAACCATACCGACGTCTTAATAATATACAAAGGCGGTAATGAAAAAAAATTGGATGTCGTATAAATAAACAACGTCGGTGATCCAAAACAAGAGGACGTGGTAATACAATAACCCACGTCGGTGACCCAAAAAAACTTGACGTGGTAACATTATCATCCACGTCAGTTATTTAAAACAAGATATAACAAGAAATATAACATCGACGGCAATTACTAGAACCGACATGTAACAGTAATAAAAACAACGGTTTCTATTTACTTCATCTTGAATGGATAAATTTGTACTAATATTCTACGTTTGTTAGTATGACAATATCAACGTCCTAATAATAGACAAAGGCGGTTATGATAAACAATTTGACGGCGCATATCTAAAGAACGCCATTTATCGAAAACAAGATGACGTGGTAATTCAATAACCCACGTCGGTGATCCGAAAAACATAACGTGGTAACAATATCATCCACGTCAGTTATTTAAAACAAGTTGACGTGGGAACATAATTATCCACATCGGGGAGTAAAACAAGACGATGTGGTAACTTAATAACGTCGTTTTGTGTTAGTTTCGACGTCTAAAACAATATATGACGTCATTTTGTGTTGTTTAACGTCGTTGTAAAAGGATACAACGTCGGTTAGGTCATTTGGAATTTAATTTTAAATGACTTTTATATTTTATTTAATTCCATATTAAATTCAAAACTAATTCCAAAAATTAAACTGACAACTACCAAGCACTCATTGAAATATTGTCTCTCCCCTAAATCTTTAAAAAATATAATTTTACAAATATTTTTTTTATTGTATTTAATTACTAATATTAATAATATATTCAAAACAAAATCCAAAAAATATACCGACAAATTCTATGCACTCATTGAGACAGTATCTTGCCGTTAAGGCCTGAAAAATGTAATTTTAGTTTTCAAAGTTCAAATGATAATAAAATTCAAACAAATTTAAAGACAAAGCACGGTACTCCTTATACTTTACATAACATAACCCTAAAGTTTATGTCATCCATTGGTGCCCATAAATTCAAAATGATGAAATCCATATTTTAGCCTACTATTATAGAAGGCATTGTTGTAAGGAGTCCGTAGTAATTTTCGGTTCATTTTTCTCATACTTGTGTATTTTTTTTATAATTATTGTAAAATTTAGGGTTTAGGGTTTATTGAAACGACGCCGGTTTTCTCCCTCTGTTTTTGGTCAACTACGCGCGTTTGAATCCCAGGAAACCCAAACCCCGACTAATTATTTCATATTTACGACGTCGGTTATTAAGGGGTGACTTATGTTCTGTTTACAACGGCGGTTGGAAACCGCCGTCGTCAGTTAGTATTAAACGTCCATATCTAAGTATTTACCGTCGTCGTTGAAAAACGCGGTACTTTAAAATTTTCGACCGCGATCTAAAATTTTCAGAATTTCCCTTTAACCCTATAATGGTTCGTTCTCTCTCTTCAACATAAATTTGTCTTAAAGTTTTCGCTCTCTCTCAAAGCATTGGGAATATTCTCTCAGCTCTCTCTCAAGCTTTTGTTATATTCTCTCAACTCTCTCTGAAGCATTGGTTATTGCACGGCTTCTTGAATCCATGTAAGTGCAAACCCTAATATCTTTATTTAATGATATTGCACGGCTTCTTAAATCCATAAGTGTTTTCGTTCTATTTGGGTTATTTTATGTTTTAGTGTTTGCATTCTTGTAATAATTACTATCTGTTTGGGTTCTTTTATGTTTGTTTGACCATGGGTTCTTGGAAAAGGATTGGGGATGGGAGATTTAAGCTGTTTTTTTTTTCTTAAACCACGACGACGGTTGATGGATCAAACCGTCGTCCAAATGTTTATTATACGTCGGTTGTTCATTTACTCCCGTCGTCTGAGTTTTAATCCACAATTGGTAGCCTAAAAACGACTGTTTCTCCATTAACCGTCGTCTTTAGTCTACCAGAACCCCGTACTTTGTTCTTCAAAAACCAATACAAATTTTTGGGTTTCGGTATCTTAATGACAACGGTAACTATAGATGTCGTCGTCTGAATTTGTATTAAACGACGATTATGTTGTAAAAACCGTCGTCTTGTTCTTGTTTTATTTTTTATTTTCAATTTGTTCTCTGCTATTTGAATGAGGTAGTCTTTCATGGCTAGTGTTTCCACTTTAATATATATATATATATATATATGTATATATGATTTTATAGTGTGTGAGATGGATAAGTCATGGATGAGTTAGGGGTGGAATAAATTTTGAATTTTGCTGTAGAAAATCTTGGAAATACAACTCATATTCGTTGTCCATATGTTAAATGTGGGAATATTCGATTGTTTGGGGTTGGAATTATAAGGGAACACTTATACTTTAATGGAATTGACCAAAGCTATACGATTTGGACATGGCATGGAGAACCTTGGGAATGGACTACCAATGCTAGTACAAATGTGGAAGAAGATGAGCAAAGTAGGTTCAGTTATGTTTCTAAAGAATTAGGGATGGATGATAATGATTTTGCCAATATTGGATCTGATCCTTATGAGTTTGCCAAT